TCACCCATTTATATTTTTTAAAGATTTATTTATTTATGCATACAAGAACTGGGGTATAGGCCAGAGGTGTGGCGGGGGTGTGTGTATGTGAGAAGATTCACCAGAAACAGAGCAGGGAGCACAACAGGCAGATTAACCGAGATACACTGCTGAGGGGAACAGAGGGGAGACAGGAGAGGTCTGCTGCGCCATGTGGGTCACCTCCCTGGCTGGGGATCGAACTCGTGCTGCAGTGGCTGCGGATGGCTTTATTAATGCTCTGTTTTAACCCCTTACGCCATCAGGGAAGCCCAACTTCACCCACTTAAAGTACACAATTCAATGCTTTTTAGTATATTTATGGATCTGTACACATCGCCACATTGGTGCACATCACCACCATCTAATTTTATAAGATTTTCATCACTCCAAAGAGAAACCACATGCCCATCAGCAACCTCTCTTCCTCCCCCTCCCATAGCTCTAAGCAATCACTAACCTGCTTTCTGTCTATAGACTTGCCGCCTCAAAGAATTTTAAAACAACCTTAATACCAGTGCCATCATACCTAAGACAAATTCCTTAGTTTAATCAAATATCTAGTAAATACGCAAATGCACACCACTCGCTCATATATTTTGAAAGTGTCTGCTGGTTTGTTTGAATCAGGATCAGGCAAGTTCCTCTCCTTCCAGCTGTTTTGCTGGAGGTACTTTAAATCTCTTCTGCTCTATGCAGTCCCTGCCTCACCTTTTCTCCTTTGTAATTTATCAGTGGAGGAATTGAGTGTTGGGTCCCATTGAAACTCTCACTTTCTGCCTTTGTTGACTGTGTCCATTTAACGTTGCTTAACATGCTCTTTTGCTCCCTGCATTTGCTGTATTTGCTGTGAGTGCATGGATCTAGGGCAGAGGTCGGCACGCTGTGAAAGTTCAGATGGCAAATAGCTCAGGCTCTGTGGGCCCTAGGGCCTCTGTTCAACTCTGCCATGGTAGACAATTCAGCTGCCGCTGCAGGACGAAAGCTGCCACAGACTGCACATACATACGCGTGACTATGTTTCAGTAAAACTTTATTTACAAAAACAGATAGTGGGCAGAGTCCTGAGTCCAGAGTCATGTTTCACCTGTGCATTATTTCATAGGTGCGAAACTGAATATGCACTGCTAGCATAGCGCAGGAATACGGAGCCGAGAAACTACAAAGGCCAGTTCAGATCTCCAGAGCTCTGGAAAAAAAGAAGCAAGTTAAAGAACCCTCCATAACCCAGAGCCCAAGGCATTACTACTTTAGACACAGATAAACTGAAGCTACATTAAAGATTAAATAAAAAAAGCAAAACTTGAAATATTATCGGAAACTATAGCTGATACTTGACTAGTGTCGCTTTATGAAATGGTTGGTTGGAAATGGTTCGTTAAATAAGAGACCAAAGGATCAAACTCTACAGGGAAAAATTGACCAAATCAATTGCATTAGAATTAAAAACAAACTTCTGTGTATCAGGACACATGAATACGCGCACACACACACACACACACACACACACACGACAAGTAGACCTTGAGAAAATATTTGTGATGTATATAATTAACAAAAGGTTATCAGCCAGGATATATATTTACTAAGTGATAGGAAAAAGACAAAAATCCGCTAGAAAAATGGGGGAAAGATGTGAGCATCAAATTCATAGAGGAGGATTTAGCACATATATACCTATAACCTAACTAATAATCAGGGAAATAAAATAACACTAATAAAGAAGTGCTGACTTGACATAAAATCAGATTTACCAAAATGTAAATATCTATTGAAGCTGAAAATTGCTTGAATCTAGTAATTTCTTGCAGGAATTCCACCTTGAGAGTTTCACCTGCATATTCAAGGAACTTTGACTTGTGTTGATTTCTAGAAAATGTCCATATTTTCAGGTGAAAATGGAACGTTGCCAATTTCGTATGGCAACTGTTAAGCAGTTTTATTTAGGCTCGGAGACTTCTACTGAGGATGGAATAGGTTGTAAATAATATTAAAAAGAGTAGCTTGGGATGAAAGTCTGTCCTCAGCCACCAAAATTCAAGGCAACATAAAGTCAATTTTTGAAGGAATAAAGTATAACACTTGTAGTAGAGCTGTGGTAAGTCAAATAAAATAAAATAACACAGGAAACTTCAAAGTTACCACATGAAGAATAATAACAAATTATTGAGGTGAAGGCCTTTTGGGGATTGTGAGTTGTTCCCAAAGTTGTTTGAGAATAAAATTATTCCTGTACTTTGGTGTCAAGGTTTACCAGCAATTTTGCTTAACGTAATATCATCCTGGATTGGGGCGAGAAGGGCAGGGACTGAGGGGCGAGTGGTGGATTGCAGAGAGGAGACTGTGCTGTAACCCTTTATTGCTCACTCCTTCCCACTCCTGCAGGCTAGAGAGAACACTAGAATGTGTCTGTTGTCAATGGTTAAAGAACATGGGCTTTGGAAGTAAACTTACCTGGGCTGATGTCCTGGTTCTTGTAATGATTAGCTGTGTGACCTAGCAAAAGTTGCAAGCCCACCCTGCGCTCAATTTCCTCATTTGTGAAGTGGAGACGATCACCACTGCCTCACTAGGCTGTTTCTGAAGATTAATTGAGAAGTCGTTCCTCTTCTCTTCATCTCACCCCTTGCTGTCATTTCCCCGGGACCATTCCCATCAGGCCACATGCCTGCTTGGAACGCCCAAGTGACTCCTTAGTAGTCACAGAACGAAAGCCAAATTTCTTGGTCTCGACAGTGCAGTCCTGCCTGGTGCCTTGCCTTTGGGATCTGTACTAGTTATCTAGTGTGTAATAAATACCACAAGCTTAGCTGCTTCAAACAACACACATTTATTATCGCACAGTCTCTGTGGGTCAGATTGCACACTTAATAGAATAGTCCAGCTTAGCTGGACCTTCCACTTCTGAGTCTCATAAGATTGCCATCCAAGTTCTGGCTAGAGCTGTGGTCTCATTGACGTTCTACTGGAGAGGAATCCACTTGCCAGCTAATGTCGTTGCTCATAGCATTCAGATCCTTGTATGCTGGTGCGCTGAGGCTTTGGTTTCTAGAAGCCATTCTCATTCTTCACTGCGTGGCACTCTCTCAGCCTAGCTCACCATACAGTATCTTGCTGCATCAGAGCCAGCAAGGGAGAGATAGTCTCTGAGCAAGGCGACTATTACAATCTCAGATCATGTAAGCGTGTGCATCCGTCACCTCTGCTATGTTCCACTGCTTAGAAGCAAGTCATGGGTCCTGCTCTCACTCAGGGGACAGGATCACACAAGGCTGTGCCACCAGGAGGTAGGGATCAGGGGAGCCAGATTAGAGTCTGCCCACCCTGGGGTCCAGGAGCCACATGCCGGCAGCTGATGCGAGCTCCCGGGCACACTTTGGAGATAGTACAGGTTTGGTTTAGACCACGCCATGAGCTGAATAGCACAATCCAGCGAGTCACATGAATTTTTTTGGTTTCCCAGTGCGTATAAAAGTCTTGTCCACACTATGCTATAGTCTATTAAGTGTGCAATAGCATTGTGCCTAAAAATATAAGGTACAGGCCTTAATTTAAAAACAGTTTATTTCTTTAAAAATGAGAACAGTCATCTGAGTCTTCAGCAAATAATCTTTTATGCTGGTGGAGGGTCTTATAAAAAATGCAGTATCTGCAAAACACAACATGGTGAAGGTCAATACAATGAGGTGTGCCTGTGTTTATTTCTCTGGAACCCTTTATCCACATATTCGAAATGGAGATAAAATGATATTCCATATCATGGAGTTGTCAGGAAGATCACAGGAGATAAATTATTTTGCAAAGTACTTCACAACCATCCAACGCCTATCTACTTTAAGGTCTGTCTGAAAAATCACCTTCTCCATGAAGGTATGGCCAGATATGATCACCTGTGTGAATTGCTCTTTTCCTTTAACAGAAAATGCTTGGTCCACTCAGAGTTTATGCACTATCATATGCTCGGATGTTTCATTAATGAAACATTTATGATACATTCTTAAGGACAGTAACTTTTTTCTATAAATCATAAAATAGCTGGCATTTTTCCAATTCTTAGGATATTTTTGATACTCTGATAATTATTTTATAATTTTTCAGTTCTTCTCATGCTTACCACAACCCTTTAAGGTAAATTCTTGCATTATTCTCATTTTACAAATAAGGCAATTGTGGCTCAGAGAGGCTAAATAATTTTCCCAAGGCCACACAGCTAGTCAGCTGTGTCTTGTTCCAAGACTGGAGCTCTTACCTACTCATGTGCTACCTCTTTTCTGTACTTCTCTATAGAGAAGTACACTGTACGAAGTAGTTGCTCATTTTAGTCTTGGATAAATGGATATGAGTTTGTGCCTTGAAGTTAGATGGCGCTGCAGAGGTCCACACACCTATTGATGTTCAAGATGGGGACAAGTGAATCCTGTCACCATTACCTGCTTGTGGGTTTCTTTTGCTGGTAGATAATCACCATGGATACCCAATGGCTATATTCCAGACAACCTTCCTTAGGGATCATCATTTAAAATCAGAATTTCTTGTAAGTCATGGCACCACAGAGCTTCCTGCAAACTGGCTCTCATTTACTATGGTTCCCATCACCACAAGGGCTGTATTCCCATTAAGTCCACTGTGAGCTCTACCAGGCTCTCCCTTAGGGCATTCTTCCTTGAATTCTCAGTCAACAGTCCCACGTCACAGTGCTCAAGCCAGAAATTCCAGGGTCCCTCAATGTGAGTCAACTGTGAGAATTCACTTCCAGTTCTGGGGACAGGACCCTTGGGAAAGCTAGGCACTGGGCCAAAAAGAGAGAGTGACCAAGAGTGACTTGGTCACTCTTAACCTAAGCCTTGACCTTCAGTAAAGTAGAGAACGAAACCACTCAGGAGCTCTCAGATGTTCCACCAGATGTTCTTTGGACTACATCTTCTGTTCTTTCTGCTCATGAAGTGCTATTCCAACTCTAATTTTATTTTTTGTCATTTCAGAATGAAGCTGGGGCCAACTGGACTGCCTTTTATGAAGGGCAGTCCAAGCTCGCTGAGAAGTATAAACTAGAAGATATTAAGGACCCCATAGTCAAGCTTCAGTTGAAGTCTCTTCAGCAGAAAGGCTCATCAGTACTTTCAGAAGAAAAAATCAAACAAGTATGTGAATGTTTTAGTACTGATCCCCAGAGTTGAAATGTGTGGGAACTCTTCCACACTATTATCATCCACGACAGTAATGCTGATTTAAAAAGAGCTCTGTCACTAGGAGGGTGAGCTCAGAATTTATCATCCAGACCGGAGTCCTTTGGGGAGTGAAAGAAGATACTGCTGCTAGTTATGTTAGGACACAGGCATAAACAGGACTGTCTGGGCACTGGGTGTGTACATGCACCCCAGACAGAGTTACCTTCTGAGCACCAAGCAGCCTAAAGATTACGCTGGTCTATGCCCTTGGTTCTCAACCGGGGTTGATTTTGCAAACAGTGTGCCCCAGGACATGTGACCATGCCTGGAGATATTTTGGGTTGTCACAACTGGAGGGGTTGCTATTGGCATCTAGTGGGTGGGGATGTTGTTAAATAGTCCACAGAGCACAAGCAGTCCCCCAACAGCAAAGAATTGTCTGGTCCCAAATATCAATAGCACCAAGCTTGAGGCGTCCCTTACGTAGTCTCCTTCCCCCTTTCATGCTGGACTTTAAGCAAGTTCCTACCACCCTCAGTCCAAAGCACTTTACAGGGGTGATTCGCTTTTTTGCAAGAGATCAATTCCATATACAGAACCCTCTGCTTGATGGAAAGACCCTCCCTCTGTTGTGTATAGAATGTTTTACCTCCATTTTGTTCTGCTTCTGGAACCAAATTGCTGTTTTCTATAATAGTCTTTAACTAAATTAGGGCAGCTCATTTAAAAAAAAAAAAAAACTAGTGCAGTCTTTTCCTTTCTATGCTAAACATCCTTCACTCTATCAATTTCTCCCTAGCAGTTTCAAGTCCCCTAATCAGACCTAGTTGCCTGTTCATTTTGCCACTCTCCTTGGCTGGCACTCAGCCCTCGGCGGGGTTCTGGTCTGCATGGAGGAGAGGGGAATGAGAGACTTGGCGCCCTGTGCTCCATGTCTGCTGAGACAGTTAGGGCTCTGTTAGGGTTCTTGTTTGTTTGGGTCTTTGTCTTTGACATACAAAAATGACTATATGCTGCTTATATATCTAAGGTGATTGGCTGAAAGATCGGCCAGTCATTGATTTTGGTTTTTTGACAGTCGTGTTTGGTGCATGTCAACCTCTTTGTCAATAAAATCTCCCGATCTCTTCCACTCTGAATGCTCTCAATGATGCCTTTTCAAATCCTGTTCTTACATGGGTCATTTTTCCAGCTTGAAGAAAGCCTAGATTCGTCGTTGTGAAAATGGCACCTCTTAGCCCATCTCTAGTCCAAGAATCAGCAAAGTTTTTTGGTCAAGGGAGGGTAATAAATAGTCTAGGCTGTGTGGGGCATGGCGTCTCTGTCCCGCTGAGCGAACACTGCTGTGGGAGTGGGAAAGCTGCCATCGCTAATACATGAACGCGTGGTGGTGGCCGCGGGCCAATAAAACTTTACAAAAACAGGCAGCAGAGAGGATATGGTCTGCAGATCATAGTTTACAGACCCTTGATGTAACCTAATGAAATATTTTATCTAAAATATTTGGCTATTTAACATCAAAGTCTTTCTGAGTAGCTTGTCCTCTGGAACTCTGTGTACTGATCTGCATTTATAAAAAGAAAAATGCATGATAAGGAGGGAGATAAAACCATATGGCGCATATCTTCCTACAAGTTCATATTTATTATTCTACATTCTTTGGGCCCAATTATCCAACTAGCTATTAATCCACTTTATCTTATCCATCCCATGCTGTCCCATCTTTTCACAAAAACACCATGGGAAACCTTGCTCGTTGTTCTGCTGTTAGAATACGGACAGCCTGGTCTGGCCTAGGTGGAATCTGGACATTGTATTTTGAAAAGATCCCCAGAACATTCTGATGTGTGGCCAGAATTGAAAACCACTGACATGCACCTAAGAGCCTGACGTGTTTGGGAAGAGGCGAAGCTCAAGGGTGCACGAATTCAGTGCACAGTTCAAGGAAGAAGAGGCGACGGAGGGGTTTTGTGCCATGATAAGGACTTGGCTTCATGCCTTTGGATTGTGGGATCTCATTGAAGCTTTAAGCATGAGATCCAGTTCATGGGTTAGGATAACCGCTCTGGTCGCGGAGTGACAAACTCACGGAAGACCAGCAGGAGACGGGGAGCAGGACAGTTCATCCAGTGCCTCCTAAACGACCCAAGCTGAGAACAGGTCCTTTCCTTCTTCCCTTCTTTCCTCCTGCCTCCCTCCCTCCTTCCTTGTTATCCTCCTGTCCTCTCTCCCTCCCTCCCGCCCTTTCCTGCTTTCTTATCAAGTCCATTGAAGACATTTAAATTCATTGATCAGATGCTCAGCTGTCATGGAAACATCAAATTGCCTTTACAAGTTTATAAACATTTATTCCCTCACTTGCTGAGCTCAGCACAGAATGGAAACACTTGCTGACTTGCTCTGTCTGTGGGCCCTACCCTGAGTAGCACTGCTTTACTCTGTTACTTCTTTTTTTTTTTTAATTAAAGATTTATTCATTTATTTATACAAGCACTGGGTACAGTCAGAAGCGCGGGAGGGTGAGAGAATTCACCAGAGCCAGAGCGGGGAGCAGAGCAGGCAGAAGGACCGAAGGACACTGCTGAGGGGAGCAGCGGGCGGCAGGAGAGGTCTGCAGGCTGCGGGCAGCCTCGCAACCCAGCGCTCAACCGCTGCGCCACCGGGGAGGCCCTACTCTGTTCCTTCTATTCTCCCTTACCTACTGGGTCAAGCTGAAACTCTTAGCATAGCGTGGAAGGACCCTCACGATCAGGGCGCTGCTTACCCTTCCACCCTCCTGCCCTCCTTTCCCAGAGCAACACCACGGCCCCAGTTTCCCTGAACACGTCATCTCTCTGTCAAATGCAGCGCCTTTCCTAGCCACCTTCCATCCTTCGGGCTCTGCTGTCCACCTCCCTTCTCTCCTTGACCAGTTCTTACTTCTCTTCAAAGACAAAGCTCAATGTCCCCGCCTCTCCGAAGTCATTCCTGAATGGCACTAGTTGGTGACAGAGCACTTTTCACTCTGCTGTTCAGTTGCTGATTTCATGACTTCGTCACTGTGCCGTGACTGTGGGGTCCTTGAGGACCAGTGTCGTGTTCACGTCCACATTGTCACAGTCTGCGATATAGTGGGTGTTCAGGAAATGTGCACGCCTTGCAGGCTGCATGCATTTCTCTCTGTGTGTGCAGACGAGATATGTTCCTGGGATTTTGGTAGATTTGGTTCTTTCCATCACGGCACATATACTTTATTATGTGCTTTTCAGGATGTGCTAGTTAATAGTGGGGAAGCTTAACTGAGGTATCACTATAGAAAAGGAAGGTGTGAACTGTGTATTTTGAAGCATCAAAAACCACGTGGCCCCAAGGACAGCTTTACCTCAGCATCCCCGTCAGCACATTTTCCCTTTCAACATTGCTTGTCGCCTTCGCTTTGCAGTTGAACACAATTCTAAATGAAATGAGCACCATCTACAGCACTGGACAAGTTTGTAACCCATCTAATCCACAGGAGTGCCTTTTACTTGAACCAGGTAAGCCTTTCACTTTGAGCAGTGATTATGATATCCTTTTTACTCCCACATTTTAAAAATGAGATTGACCTTAGATGATGCTGCTGTGCCTTTCAGATGGCTAATCCAAAGATCAGATGATCCCAGCTATGTGTTTTAGCTGCTCTTTACAAAACCTCATGGTAGAGTCTGTCGCATTCAAGAAATTTAATTTCTTGTTAAGTGATTTCAATGGCTTATTTTCTCTGCAGAAATATTTGAGAAGTATAACAAGAAAGAGGAAATGAATGACTCGGGAGATTTCATTTAATAACTTTATGACCTTGATGTCTGCCCGTCTTGCTTTTACTTTTTTTTTTTAAGATTTATTTATTTATGCATACAAGAGCTGGGGTACAGGCCAGAGGGGTGTGTGTGGGGGGTGGGTTGAGAGGATTCACCAGAAACAGAGCGGGGAGCAGAACAGGCAGACTGACCGAAATACACTGGGGAGGGGAGCAGCGGGTGAGGCAGGAGAGGTCTGCTGTGCCATGTGGGTTGCTCCCTGGCCAGCTGGGGGATTGAACTCGTGCTGCAGAGGCTGCGGATTGCTTCATAGGTTGCATCTTAACCCCCCGGGGCCACCAGGGAGGCCCTACTTTTTAAAAATTATTGTAATTGTTCACAAATAAAAATCTTAAAATGCACGTTTATTGGCAGGTTTGGATGAAATAATGGCAAACAGCGACGACTACTATAGGCGGCTCTGGGCTTGGGAAGGCTGGCGGTCACAGGTCGGCAAGAAGCTGAGGCCATTATATGAACAGTACGTGGACCTGAAGAACGAGATGGCAAGAGCTAACCGTAAGTTCCCGGCCCTGTTCCTGAAGCCGCTGTGGGGCTGTGGTGCTGTGTCTAGTGAATGACCAAACCTGTGCCCTTGCTCCAACCAGTATCTCTAAACCTATGGCCATCTCTGGAACAATCCAGGGTGCCCATCTCAAAGAAGAAACTATTGGGCAGTAAAGAGCTCAGGGATGAGACTCAACTACCTGGCATCAAATAAATCAGTTGTGGGGGAAGGTCTCAGGCCCCTAAGGGGTCCTGAGGTAGTTTGGGGGTTAATACGGGTTCTGTTTCTCAGAAATGATGGGAGACAGGGAGACGTCTCTCGCCTGAACTCCCATCCGGTCACAGTTCTTCTCAACGTTCCTTTGTATATTTACCTCAGAGTGATGTCCCAGCAAGAGAAAAAACAGGTTCATTTAGTCTAGAAACCCATTATTTTCTGCAATTGTAATTATAACTCAAATCATATGGTCATAAAAATCTTAACATGAGGAGGAATTTCTTTATCTCTGAACTTAGTCTCCTGCCTGAAGCCATGGCATATCAAGTGCTTCATGCTTGGGTGATTAGCTGCCTCCTGGGTTGAGTAAGGAAGAATTTTTTTCATGTGTTGTTTCTAAATGTGTTAGGCCATCACTTCTCAAGCCGTAGGCAAGCTGGAGCCGGTAGCTAGTCATCATAGCCTTCCCTCCAAATCTTTATTTCTCTCCACATCTTCATGATCATCCACTGCCAATGTGTCTGTAAAAATGAAAATTATTAAAATACAAGTGCAAACTTTGTTAGCCAATATACAAGCTCTTATTTCCTGATAATGAGATGCTAAACCAAACCCACAGAAATGTGCTGTGTGTAGATATAATTTGCAAAGAAACACAGGCCCTCCTCGGCAATGTCTAAGATAAATTGGGTTAGATTTGAAAATAGAAGACCATGAATAAAAATAGAATTTTAAAACTCAGAGATCCAAAAGACACTAACAACCTACGGAGAGAGTAGAGACCCAGGCTTGGCACAGTAGGAATGACCTTGGACAAATGATTTAGCCAAGGAAGAGCAGGCTGTTGTGTGCAGTTTTGTGGGTCTTCTGCTTATTAGATGAGACAGTGCATTTAAATTCCCAGCACAGTGCAAGTGCTTAGCAGACATCAGTGAGTGTTATTATTCACTTGCATCCCTTTGAGTTGCTATTTAGGAAATAAAAATGTGACAAATTTTTGGATTGTTTTTAAGCTCCCAACAAGGCTAATCTATGTATATGGTGATTTATCTCTCTTTCCCTCATGGTCTTTCTCCTTTTAAAAAACAGAGTATGAGGACTATGGGGATTATTGGAGAGGAGATTATGAAGCAGATGGCTACTATACCCGCAACCAACTGATGGAAGATGTGGAACGCACCTTTGCAGAGGTAAGCAAGAAGGTGTACACAGAGACTGTGGAGGACAGTGCACAGGAGGCAGACAGTGGCCAAAGATTTTCTGGCTTGTTCTTACATGGAGCAGCCATCCCCAGGTCTCATAGTTAAGGACTGTTAGGGCTTGAAAATATTTTCAGGAATAATAGGGCAGCTCTTATAAGTGATGGGTATTGTTCTGCTTTTCTTCCCTTTTTTCAGCCACTGACCAGCAATTAGTGATAGCAAGCTTATAAGAAGGAGAGATTGTCAGGAGGAAGGGTCTTTCAGAGCATAAGAAGTGGTCTCTGGGGCTGTGTCTTGTGAAGACTTTGCTCCTTTCCTTCGGACAAGTGCTGCTCTTGTTTCCTCAGCCTCTGCCTTTAAGGGAAGGAGAGTCCTATGAGCAGAAGTGTGCCACGCCACTTCTCAATGTCCCCCTCTTCTTTCTGGTTGACTCCCATGTCACCCCTTTACCCCTGTGCCTTCAAACTTCTCATGTGAAACTACTGTCACAGGCATAGTTGGGCAGCGCTATGAAAAGTGGAGTAGGACAAACAACCACAAAAGATTTGAGTAAGGACATCATCAAAGAAATTATGCAAGTGGCAAATAAGCACGTAAAAAGTTATTAGGGAAATACAAATTAAAATCATGACCAAACCCACTGTGCATCCACTAGTGTGGTTGTGATGGAGAAAGACTGACAATACCAAGTGTTGGTGAGTATGTGGAGAGGTCGGAACCCTCAGGCAGCGCTGACAGAAATGTAACATGGTACAGTCACTTTGGGAAATGGTTTGACAGTTTGTTAAAGTTAAATACACACCATATGATTTAGGCTTCCGCCCATAGACATCTGTATGAGAGAAATTGGAACATGTAGCTTTACAAAGACTTATCCATGTGTTTTCATAGAAGCATTTATTCATCATCGCCCCAAACTGTAAACAGCCTCGGTCCATCAACTGGTGAATTTTTTCATGAGATACTAGAGGAAGCAAATTCTGACATAGTCATACCATGAAATGTTACTTGTAGCTACTGATACATATAATAACATAGATGAACCTGAAAAATATTATGCTAAGTGAAAGAAGCCAGACACAAAGGTCACCTATTGTGTGAATCCAGATATAGGAAATGTCCAGAATAGACAAATCCCTAGAGACAGAAATCAGTTTAGTGATTACCTGGGGCTGGGGTGGAAGTGGAATGGACATCAAATGGTTGCAAGCAAATTTTCGATAGAAATGTTGTAAAACTGGGTGGTAGGGATGGTGGTGGCCCAACAATATAAATGTACTCGTCCCTATGAGACCATACAATTAGAAATGGGTGATTTTATGGAATCTCAGTGATAACTTCAATTTAAAAACATGATGTCAGTAGCAGCTTAAAAATGAATATTTACTGCATCTGTTTTCATTTGGGGACCTTTATTCCTCGAGGTGTGTTTATTGTTTTATGCTGTGAAACTAGTCATCATCAGTATCTGGGGAGATGGAATGAATGCTTTCAAACACTTCAGAATATTTCAGAGGAGAAGTCAGAATTTAGGGAAATTCTAGTTGTGTAAAGGAACTACTTCTAGTGTTGAGCATTTGAAGATGGAGGAGGATACTCTTACTTTTACACCTTTTCCTGGGGTTTTCAGATTAAACCACTCTATGAACACCTTCATGCCTATGTGAGAACAAAATTGATGAAGACCTTCCCTCATGTCAATGCTACTGGATACATCCCTGCCCATTTGCTTGGTAAGACACTCTTGGAATTCTTTGTATACGTTGCTCTTTGCTATTCCCACCACTAAAGTTGATTTTTGGGGTAAGGCTCAGCATAACACTTTTGAAAAATTCTGTGAATCGAGTTAGTAACATGGAATCACATTTTGTAAGTGCTTTCTGCAACAGAGAGCATTGTAAATCACTATTGGATTACTTTCTTTTATACGTAAAGAGTAGTCATATTGGCCAATTATCACAAAGGATAAAGGGGTTACTTAGGATAACTAGAAAAAGAACTCCAAGTTCAAATGAGAATGGAAATGGGAAAGTAATTTTTACTATTTAAGTTGGTTGATTAAGCTCATGAGGTGGAGTTTAGGATTTCAGTATCATATTGTCAGAGAAGAGAAGTTTGGTGGGCTGGGGAGAGGCAGGGATGAGAGAAAGACTTTCTAGAATTAAGGTACAGCCTGACTGAAAGTGCTGTGAGTTCTTTCTAAATTACACCAATTACTTTGGCGGAGAAGTACTTGGTTCGGAATCCTGTGAGTCAGGAGTGAAGTCTATCATGAAGAAAGATGCTGAGCTTAGGCTCAGATGCAGTCTTCCAAAGGTGTTGGATTCGTCATGGAGCCTTTGTAGGCCATGCAAGACAGATGTTAATTAAACTTATTGTGATAATTTTACAATATATATACATATCAAATCATTATATTGTATCCCTGAAACTAATTTAATGCTCTATGTCAATAATGTTTCAAAAAAACCTTAAAATTGAAAAGTAAGTTGGTTGGATAACTATGAACAAGGCCTGCCCTCCCTTCACCGAATCTCCTGATCGCCCTCCAGAGAATGGTCACCTTCCCCTGCCTTCTCCTTGTCCTAGATACTGAGGCCCAATAAAGTATGTGTTTGAAAAGTTCATGTCATGGATATGTAGCTTTGTATGAAAACTGGGCTAAGTTGCTTGTGGCTAATTCTCCACAGTAAAACGTGTCCTTCAGCAGGACCTCACACTTAGTTCTGCTAAATTTTATCTCTTAAAAAAAAAAAAAAAGAGCACATCAGACTACTCCAGTGTTGCCCCATTACCTTGGTGCCAGGTTCTTGTCTTGCTATGAGATTGACTCTCTCTTCTGGCTCCATTTTCTCTTTAGGGAGCTCTGACGCTGGCATCAAATTTAGCATTTGTTAAAGTATCACCCTGCTAGATCCTACAAAAGAAATTTAAGTTTTTCATGTTTTTTCAAAATTTTCTGAAATTTGTATGAAGCTACATTTCTGAATTTCTTGATTGTTTCTAAAATGTTTTGAGTTTTTTTTTTTTTTTTGGTGGGACCCTCGCCGGTGGCCGGGGATCAAACTGGCACTGCAGAGGCTGCGGGCAGCCTCACAACCCAGCGCTCAACTGCTGTGCCACCAGGGGAGGCCCTAAAATGTTTTGATTTTTACTAGTTTTTGGTTAATTTTTCAATACACATATTTTGCACTTAAAAAAAAATCACCCTGCTAAACATATTATTAATAGTCTGTAACAAAATTAAAACTTATTACTAGTGAGAAATTCCTAAATGATGATCCTATTGTTCTCTCTTGATTCCAATAGTAGGGATGAGTAATCATTTATTTTGTCCTATTTTGTCCCTTGCTTGGTGGATTATGTAATTCTGTTTCGAATTAATAGTAATTATGATGTTTCCTAATACATCGCACCTTTGAATAATAATCTGAAAGGGGAGAAATTGGGTAATTCCCTAACAAGTTTTACCTGCCCACTTAATTTCTTATCATTTTAACCATTGAAAGGAGATTTTTAAAAGAACATGCTGAAAATTTAATTTTTTTATGAAGGTGACATTGGTTTAGAACACTGTGATTTGGGGAACTAGGTTTACACCTCCTCGGATGTATGTCACCCCCCTCACCCCCCCCCAGCACCACCAAAGCACAGGTTGTAAATTTTAGAGAGAAGGAAAAGAAGTAGTGAAAAGGGAGCACAGAAATGAAATGAAATCTAGAATACTGTGTGGCCTGTTCACCGCTTCTGCCTTGTGTGCTATGTTAAATCAGGTCTCTGTGCCTGCTGTTTGTCATGAATTAACTTTTTTTTTTAATAGGTGACATGTGGGGTAGATTTTGGACAAATCTGTACCGCTTCACAGTCCCCTTTGGAGATAAACCAAACATAGATGTTACTGATGCAATGGTGAACCAGGTAGGAAAGAGAAACTTTGAACACCAACTCTAAATCCTCAACTTCATTTCTTTTTGTGCCATCCTTCCCTTTTGCCTGTGAAACCGTGTAAATCAAAATGTTTCAAGTGAGTTAAGTTTGTTCCTTATGTAGCTACCTTTTCTTGGGAAAGTAACTTACACCATCAACTACATCAAGTACCTTGAATGACGGGTATGGTGTTGATCCTGCTGAGAAATATTTAAAATAGAGATCACCTGAGGTTTCCATTAAGCAATAACATGTCAAATTTCAACTGGTTTGTATCACTCTTTCCAAAGTTCATCATTGCTAAGTCATCAGCCATTAATCTCTAAATAGCATAGCTAAAAATAGTATATAACTAGTAAAAAAAAAAATCTCTAAATGAATAGTAAAGAAGAATATCCTTAGATTTTTGCCTATTAAAAATCATCATTATTAAAAATATTATGAGTCTTTAAAATAAAATTTAAATCACCTTTTGGTTACCATTTTGATATAATTGTTGTGCTTCTCTGAAGTCCCTTCTATTGAAAAAATCAGAACATAGTCATAATTACATTTCCTTCTTTATTCAACTAAAAGTCTCTATTTCTGGGAAGAACTCATAATCTTACCTTAGCTGTGTAAAATCTCTTCATATAGTTGGACCATAATTAGTTGACTATTTTTGCATTGCTAGACTTTCGTTTGTTAACAGTTTCAAATCTGTAAGTAGCAGTACCATGAACATCTTCCCACACGTCACATATTCCTGGGAAAAGTCCACTGCAGAGTAAAAACATGGACCCTCAGGGCCCCTAGGAGACTGTCAGGACAGGTGTTTTGATAGTTCCCTGTTGTAGGTGAGGACGCTGAGGTTTGGATCAATGACTCACACAAAGACATCAGTGGCAACCAAAGTTTGAACTCAGAACTCCTAGTATTTTCAGTCTGGTTTTCTATTCATTCGTTATTAATCAAACAGATATTAAGTGTGCTTACTAGTCTACACTCTTTGAATATGTGCTCATTCTGCTCAAGTATGCCATACTGATTAACACCCATATTGCCTGACATTAAGCCTTTAAAGGTAAATGATACCAAAAAATCCATAGTCTCGTTCCCTCTTTTATATCCGCAAGGCTGACACAGGAGAAAAGCCAGATCTGGCTGGTCTTTGAGATCAGAGGAAGTTTTCTGTGTCTCTAAAAATGATTTAAAAACTTCGTTTGCCTGATGTGGGCCTTATCTCTAAAGAAGCGTTGGTCAGCTTCAGGGACACTGGCTTCCAGAAGAGTTTGCAGGGTAGCAGACACCTATTGCCGCCCCTTTCCAGTTCTAGAAGTTTCTGAAAATTTAGATTCCCATACAGACTTCAAAGCCAAGGCCCAATGATCCATTGTCTGCTGGGTTACATCTGTCCCTTTTTGGTTCCCAAATCCCACAACTTCATGCCCACTTTATTGTTTGTGGCTACCACTGGGCCTAGTAAGGGCCCTGCCCCTTGAAGGAGCTCAACCAACAATCATTGGCTTGAGTTGAAGAGGTGTGAGCAAAGAGAAGGTTGTTATTTTTATGTCTTCACTTGGAATATAAAGAATAAAAACAAAACACACAACCTCACCTTGTCTACTGCTAATATTTTGGTGTATTGCCTCATTAACATTAGCCAAAGAAAGTGGTTTATATATTCGATATTTTCACTTATTAATTTTTATATATTTATATATTTTATTAATATATTTTATATATTTTATTAATTTTATATATTTATACATTAATTTTATAAATTTATACATTAATATTTTCACTTATTAAATTATGAAAGTGTCAATAAAATTCTTTATGAATCTAATTTATTTAGATTTTACATTCCACAAATGTGTCATTATTCGTTTACCCATTCTGGTGGTCGTTTCCACTTTTTCACCATTGAAAGCCATTTCAGGTGTAATTAGTTGACCTAATTTCCGAGAATTTCGTAGGTTAATTCCCTAGAGACAGGATTACTGAGACAATGTTTTATTTTTATTTTTTTTTTTAATAGAGGCATGTTTTATTTGTTTGTTTGTTTGTTTGTTTGTTTATACATGCACTGGGTACAGTCAGAAGCGCGGGAGGGTGAGAGAATTCACCAGAGCCAGAGCGGGGAGCAGAGCAGGCAGAAGGACCGAAGGACACTGCTGAGGGGAGCAGCGGGCGGCAGGAGAGGTCTGCGCGCCATGTGGGACCCTCCTCCGGTGGCCGGGGAGCAGCCGGGGATCGAACCGGCGCCGCAGAGGCCGCAGGCAGCTTCGCAACCCAGCGCTCAACCGCTGCGCCACCGGGGAGGCCCGAGACAATGTTTTATTAACACTTTGAAAACTGTCTACACGTCTAAATTTCCTTCCTGAAACATCATGTCTCTGTATATATCCAACAGAAAGAATGCTGCTACTGTGATGCTAGAATTAAATACTGTTTTTTCCCTCCACCCAGGGCTGGGACGCACAGAGGATATTCAGAGAAGCTGAGAAATTCTTTGTGTCTGTGGGCCTTCCTAGTATGACTGCAGGATTCTGGGAGAACTCCATGCTAACTGAGCCAAAAGACGGCCGGAAAGTGGTCTGTCACCCCACAGCTTGGGACCTGGGAAAGAACGACTTCAGGTAGTGAGGCTGATACTTACATGGCTGCCGCTAACGTGAGAGACAATGGGGCAGGGCAGAGCATTCCTTCTCGGCTTCTCTGAGCACAGAAGAGATAAGTGAACTCTCGTTGAATGGAGGCTTGGAGTCCATGAGCGCACACCTGGGTTTTCTCAGCAGGGGATTGCCAGGAGGCCCTAACGGGAACCTTGATACCATTTGCCTCATTTGAAATTCTATGCACCCCCTAGAGTTGCACAGTCCTGGGAAGGGCAGTGCCTACCTTTGGGCAGGTTTGGCACTAAGGATCATGGAGAATGCATGTGTGACTCAGGCATTGAGTCTCCCTCTTGTGAGCGAGAATGGCAATGGAATAAACAAGCTGGGTGAAGGAGAGGAAGGACACAGAGAGGCACACAGAGAACACGCCACGGAAAACCACAAGAGGCGAGGGTAGCATCGGATAGGGCCCTCAGGCTGGCGGGGGAATTGGGCTTGAAAGACAGGAGGGTTTGGACAGGCTGAGCCTGGAGCAGGACACCAGGCTGGGAGAAGAGCAGCTACGAGGGCAGACAGGCCAGGCCTGGCAGTGTGCAGCGGAGAGAGTGGGCGAGACTAGAGTGAAGGGCATGTGAGGAGGCGCCTGCGTGAGGCGGTGGAATGACCACAGGCTTTGGCGTCCCAGGTGTGTCGCCCAAGGACTAGGTAGCCCAGAGTAAGGTATTTTCCTTATCTATAAAGTGGAAAAGTAGGCTGCACACTTGTGTCTTAGGTTGGGGTCCCCAGCCTGACATGGAGATTCTTGTACAAGTGTGTCGTTGGGGACGCTCTCAGGTGAAGGGGACTGAGGGAAGCAGGATGGCAGGGAAAGGGTTAAGTAAGGATGAGGTCTCCGCTGGAGCCTTGCCTCAGCCTGATCCCATGGGGGCTCTCGGGAGCAGGATTCAGGTCACAGTGTTGGTCTCACCTTGAGAAAAGGGGACCGGCCTGTTGTCCCGCAGCCCTCATATTAGTCAGTAACCGCTTGTGGACTGCCAGTGTGGGGGGCCATGATGTCCTGGCTGAGGCATCTCCAGGTTGGCCCAAGGCAGTGAAGAGGGAAGCAGCTGTTGGCCTTTAACCACTCAGGCAGCTGGGGGATGGGTGGATCTGCCCCGGTGAAGAGGATCCGGGCAGGGTCCCAACAGCGTCTGCTGGAGTAGGGACTGGCCATCCCTTTCTGCGAAGGCCACATAGGCAATAGTTCCGGCTTTGCAGGTCTCTGTTGCAGCTCCACAGCGGTACCCTCGCGGCACGACAGCAGTCAGAGACCATACATACCAAGTGGGCGAGGCTATTCCCGTGAAATCTTTTTTATAAAAACAGCCACAGGTCATAGTTTACTAACTCCTGTGCTACGGTGAGGGCTTAAAATGATTAAGTATGTGTAGGTTTCCTAGCACAGGACTTTACATAAGTTGACATTAAGTATATAGTAGGTATTGTTATGTTTTGAAAAAGAGTAGAGAAAAGCCAAGTTAGAAAAGCAGGTCACACAGGGATATATAAAGGATGCTGAGTTCATTCATGAAAAAGGAGGCCTCCGTAAAGGGTATTTAGCAGGGGATGGCATGGTTAGAACAGTAGGAAAGTTAATTTGAGAACTCACAAAAATATGACCCCTACAACCCACCTAAGGACACTGCTCTTGCCAAGTTGGAAAGGACAGACACACAATTGCCAGATGCAGGCCTTATTTCGTTGGGCCACAGCAGCATTAGAAACACTTACAAGTTTTCTTTGAAATGCTATTTTTCATTAACTTCTGTATTTTCATCCCCCTCTGGATTTCTTTGACCTTTCTCTCTGAACCATCTTACCCTTTCCACTCTAGGTACTGAGACTTCCGCGGGCTTTGTCTTTGGCCTCTGTTGCCATTCTGCATCTGCCTGCTTCGCGGGCCATCATATCCGCTCCCTGCCTTAGTGTGGATGATTCCCAAATATCAATTTCCAGTCCCTTCTCCTACTTCTCTGTCCTGGTTATACCAAACTGCAGAGTCCTGGATGTCACATTCTTTTCTCAAGCGTTCAACCTGGACTCAAGCAGTCAACATTGGCTGCTTGAGAACCTCGATGAACCTTGACAGGAATGTCAACATCTTATTTCTCCCTGCCATCTCCCTGGCAACTCCTGAATGTTGATCAAGGTCAAGGTTGTTTGTTACATCCTCAGTTATGCCCTTCTTGGTGCTTCTAGAAGGCTCTGCCTGCATTTACTCATTGTTATACACAAGGCCATGTCTACTGATCACTTGTACAGGATTTGCCTCAGTTTGTAGTAGAAGATTCTGCTTATCTTTCTGTTAGTCTATAAGCAGAACGGGATTCAGCTCTGCCCATCACTTTATATCAAGCACCTCAGTTTATAGGACATAAAAGGTAGGTACTCATGATTTATCTTAATATTGCCTAATTTTGTGCAGGATCAAAATGTGCACGAAGGTGACCATGGATGATTTCCTGACAGCCCATCATGAGATGGGCCACATCCAGTACGACATGGCATATGCTAAGCAACCCTACCTGCTAAGAAGCGGAGCTAACGAAGGCTTCCACGAAGCTGTCGGGGAGATCATGTCACTGTCTGCAGCGACCCCAAAACACTTGAAATCCCTAGGCCTTCTGCCATCTGACTTTTCTGAAGACTATGGTAAGGGCATTTTTTCATGGTTTGCTTTGGGGATTCTTTAGTCTGATGTGGACACAGGTATTCATTATCATGCACACAATGGATTTAATTTTTGCCACATAAATTGTGAAGAATTTATGGGTAATGAGGAATTGTTGTTGCATAAATTTGTTTTTTATGTGTATGTCAGCCCATCCACACCTGTGGTTTTGTGTCTTTGAAAAGGGCTTAAGTGAGGTAACTGAATGAATGATGTTGAGATGTTAAGAAACACCTAACAGGTTTTTTCTTTTAAATGCAGAAACAGGCCCACAGAACAGAAATAGTTTGTTCCAAGTCACCCAGCCAGTTAGTTTCTGAGTAGATCCTCCTGATTCTAGGTAAAAACTGCCGAAAATCTTAGAGCTGGAACAGATTCTAAAGGCCATATTCAGAAGAGCAAACTGAAGATGAAAGGGAAGATGACTAGTCCAATGTCAAGATGCAACATGGCAAAGCTGAACTAGAACCCTCATCTATACAATATACAAAGCGAAGTGTAACTTGAAATTTAGGAATGCTTAGAAGCCAGGTGGTGGACTCTCGAGGTTGGGAGGGGCTGAAACGTGTCATTCATCCAGCGGAGGCATGAATTTGCCCTGAAGATCCATGCGGGGCTTCAGCATCTTTGCCTGAAGCGGCCTGCTCCTCTTGGGGCAGATTGGATCTGCTGGAACAGGCAGTTGTTCACAAGATCCAGGTTCTTCAGTGAGGACGCCACAGCTTTCGATTCTTTGTCTTGAAAGGCGGCAACTTAGAGCCAAATAGGTTCTCTTTTGTATATTTCTCTCCCCTTATTTTAGCTATTTGGGACAAAAACATCAGGTCCACCAACTGGAACGGTTGGTCAGTGAGGTCAAGGTCATGAGCCCCACCCTTGCACGCGCAACTCACTTTGCCTTCATTTCTGGCTCCAGACATCAAAGTAAAGCCATTTATCATGTCTGAAAGAATGAACAGAAGCTCAGACCCTGTGAATAATAGACCGATAGTGGCATCCTCCCATTAGGGGGCAGCGAAGGAAAGGGTCATCAAGTTAATTAACAGACAATTACTTGTTTTATTATTTAACAATAATCCCTGACAGCAGTGTTCCCTGTTTGAATCAGTAAGAGCACCAGACATGGTTAAAGCACTGTCTTAAAACACTCCTGTTTCTTTCCTTGGCTCTGCCCCTGGTTTGTGAAGTTGTGAACAAATAAATTGCTTCATTCTTTCCCTCCCTTCCTCCCTCTTTCTATCTTCCTTTCTTCATGCAAAAATATTTATCCAGGGCCTCCCTGGTGGCGCAAGGGGTTAAGACACAACCTATGAAGCTGTCCGCAGCCACTGCAGCAAGAGTTCGATCCCCAGCCAGGGAGCTACCCACATGGCGCAGCAGACCTCTCCTGACTCGCCCGCTGCTCCCCTCAGCAGTGTATTTCAGTCAGTGTGTCTGTTCTGTTCCCCTGGTGAATCCTCTCACCCCCTACACCTCTGGCCTGTACCCCAGCTCTTGTATGAATAAACAAATAAATCTTTAAAAAATATTTATCCAGCACATGGATAAACAGGCAAGGCATTTCCCCTAGACACTAGAGGCACAGTGTTGCTAAGTAGATAATCTTCCCCGCTTACATTTCAAGGGGCCTCGTTTGTACCCTAGAGGTGAATGCTACTGCCTTTCCACATCACTAACAAAGTAAATGGGAGAGCCTGTTTTGTTCAAGCATTTGAAATCTGGTAGGGAAGATGGCAGAACTTGTAAAGTACACTGTACTTCTCGTTGCCCAGTGGATGGCTTCCCTCTGTCTTTGTTTCTTCCTCCCTGGTTTACTGCACCCCCCCATCTGTTTACTATTCATCTATTTCATGAAGGCCCATGGAGGGCACAGTGTAGTAGACACTGGGCTAGTGAGCCTTGAATGAGACATAACCGTCACTGTCTTCATGGAGCTTATAAGAATAAACAGCATGACTGCGAAAGAAATGAATTAATCCTAATTAGCTCTGATAAGAGGTGTTCAAGGATGACAGTTGAAACTAATGAAAAAATGAGAATTGGTGTTTCTTATGGATTTGTTGTACCTGTTCTATTCAAGGCTTTAGCCTACTCTAAATCCCTTAACAGGAAATAAATATATACATGTTATTATGTCGACTGTACTATTTCTCACACAATCCTAGATTATAATCTTACAGTAAGTATATCTTGAGGAATTATATCTTGAAATTAGGAAATTATTGAACACAAAACGTCCACTGTCAGTCTTACCTTAACACTGATCCATTTCCACTTTACTTTCAGAAACAGATATCAACTTCCTACTCAAGCAAGCACTTACCATCGTGGGAACACTTCCATTTACTTACATGTTGGAAAAGTGGAGGTGGATGGTCTTTAAGGGGGACATTACCAAAGAAGAATGGACGAAAAAGTGGTGGGAGATGAAGTAAGTCAATGAATATGCAATTAGTAAAATGTTTTTTCATGAGTTTGCTCTTTATTTGAAAGCATTTGGCTGGCCTTTGCACGCACACACACGCACGCACGCACATGGGTCTATCATATCATATCACACACAATACAGCATCTGTATTTTATACCCTAATGGCATCCTGAGCCACTAGAACTCCAAGCAATGGCTGATGGGACTTGGTGGATAAGTGCTTCAGTTTCCTTGCCCTCAGTGGGATAACTGAGGTGAATGCTCACCTTCAATCCTAGAGTCCCTCGGTGGTTTTGGTGACTTGGTTGAGAATGCACCTTTGGGAGGCTGCTTTCCTTTCTCTCATTTCCTCACGCCTTTGCCAATGTTTCCGGGGATTGTTTTCCAGGAGCTTGTCTCCGGCTCTGCTTCTGTGGGAACTCCATCTAAGATACCTAGGGTTGGGAATTCTCTGAGAATTCTTCATAGTTAGAATGACGGCAATTTCAATATCTAAATCTTAAAATCCAGTGATGTGGGTTTAAATATGTGGAAACAAGAGAGAAGAGCATCCCGACTAGGGAAGCACCATCACAGCACACACACTCGCACCCTCACACTAACTGCTTCCTGTTAAAGTCTTCATTTGGGTGCTTCTCCTCAGATGGCATTTCCTTGGCTCTGCCCTCCATCCAAGCAGGGCCAGACAATACAATGTCTCATGCTTAAGCTTCTTAAGGGTTGGGTTGCCCATTAGACCATCATCTTATTTAAGACATGATTTATTCATTCATTTATTCATTTACTCTTTGATCCATTCCCTTAACCAAAAACACTGAGCCCACATTTTTGACAGGACTGGAGAGCCCATGTCAGTCCTTTTGGATGTTCTCTTTGACTTCAAAGAACCTTTGGAATATGGAGGGATGTGGAAAATGAAACCACTGCAGCTCCCGTGCTGTGATGGGAGGGCATGAGGATCCACGTGCAGCCACGGGGAACCCAAAGCCCTATCTGGGGGCCAGAGGAGGATAGGCATCCCATCTGAGCCTGGAGGAAGATGTGGAGGCTAGCCAGGTTTGTGTAGAAAATTCTAAATGAGAGAGAGTCTGGCACGTTTGGGCAACAGAGAATTTCAATAGTTTCAGCACTTCATTCTTCATCACTGCATCCCCAGTGCCCTGCCTGCTCCCTGCCACATGAAAGTATGAAATAAATGAGCTTGGAATAAAAGAATTCCAGGGCCTCCCCTGGTGGCGCAGCAGTTGAGCGCTGGGCTGCGAAGCTGCCCGCAGCCTCTGCAGCACCGGTTCGATCCCCAGCCACCAGCTAGGGTCCCACATGGCGCGCAGACCTCTCCTGCCGCCCGCTGCTCCCCTCAGCAGTGTATTTCATCAGTCTGCCTATTCTGTTCCCCACTCTGGCTCTGGTGAATTCTCTCACCCTCCCGCGCTTCTGACTGTACCCAGTGCTTGTATGAATAAATAAATAAATCTTAAAAAAAAAAAAAAAGAATTCCAAAAGAAGACAAAAAGGGGAGAAAGAAGGGAGAAAAGGAGAGAAATCTTTTCCTTACCATCTATTAGACTCCTCTCAATGACATTTTTATTAGTTTCTATTATTCTTCCTTTCTGTAATGAAAACTTACCTATGTAACATCCAGCCCCATATCCATAGATATACGTCAGGGCCACTCTTTTGCTAAGATTTCTTTAACAAATCCTACTTGGGAGGAAAGGGCAGCATGTCTAACTGTTTCTGGTGTTAGAGTATTACTGAAATTGTGTCTATAACAATCTCACCATCAGAAAAGACAAATGTATAAAGTTTACACACTGTCAAATACTTGGGTTCCCTACGTTGTTTCCGATTGAATTAATGTTTGGAATCCTCTTACTTTATTTCTAGAGATGCATGGACTCAAACCCTTAGCACATTGATTGATACATTAATGACTCCACCAGTTCAAGTAGACTTGAAGCCTTTCCTTAGTGTTAGCCATATTAGGCATTGTGTTTCGCAGGGGAGCTGTAAAGGTGACTATAAAGATAACAGCACCCACTCTAGGAGCTCAAGTCCCCAGGGCAAGTCCTGGGTGTACATAATTATACAATGGAGAGAAATGACAAAGGAGGCAGTGCAAGTCAGAGTTGGCTAGAGAGCTGGAGGGGTAACTGGGCTGGAAGGTGAGTGTGACCAGGGGCAGGCCTCACAGAGGAAATGATCTCTGAGTGAGCCTTAAAGAACAAGTAAACTTTCTAATTTACAAAATTTTGTGTTCCAGGAGCGTGTAAAGTGTGGGGCCGGAGAGGAATGATTAGGACTTCCGCCGTATGTTTGTGGCTAGGCATTGCATTGTATTAAATTGGTGTTTTGAAGACACAGCTGTTGTCCAACAGTATATTCCACCTGAATTAAAATGAGTACAAGATAGCCACGTAATGAGCCTTATTCTGTGATTTTTTACACTGCTTCTGTTTTGCCTGATGACTGATTCTAGTATAGATACCACTGGCTGATGGAAATGCAACAGCTGCACGCAACCCTACCTGCTCAGGATGGCTGAGCCACGACTAATTTATCTTTCCCTCCCAAAGGCGAGAGATCGTTGGCGTGGCGGAACCTGTACCCCATGATGAGAGCTACTGTGACCCTGCAACTCTGTTCCACGTTGCCAACGACTACTCATTCATCCGGTAAATGACAGTTTTCTTCCGCGGTTCCATTGCTGGGGGTGTGGCTAGCTGTGTGATGGCAAAGAAAGAGGGATCTATGAGATGAGGACTATTATTACTTCCTCACCCTCCGCCTACCTCCCCCAAACCTCAAAAGAGATGATCAGTTTCAATTCAGTTTTACTCAACGCCAGTTGTTGTGTTAAATAAAACACGCATGAGAACTTTTCCCCACCCTCAAGGAGTTTACAGTATCCTTGGGAGAAATAAAAAAGATTTTTATTTGTCTTTTTATGTGGCAGAATTCAGAGTGACTGATAGAGCATTTTTAACCTCAAGACCAAAAGCCTGTGTTCTTCATCCATTAGCTGCAGATCTTAAATTTTCTGAGCCTCAGTTTTTTTTATTTGTAAAGTGGAAATAATATCATTGACCTGCTGTAAGCATCAAGGTGCATCCTAGAAATGCAAGCCTGTAAATCTGTAAAACACGAGACAGGTGCCGGCTAACCTATCACAAAAGAATTCTGTCTTCTTATCAGCTGATACAAAAATGAAGTAGGTTATGATGAGTCTGTAGAGCTCGTGTTTGAGTCTTTCTGGAGAAAGAGATTTTCCTACTATCTCTTTGGTTACTTGGATCTCAGAATGTCAATCTACGCCCTCCTGTCTGACTCTGCCTCAGTAACCAAACATGGGCTACCTTTTTGGGTCTCTTTTACAGGTATTACACAAGGACCATTTATCAGTTCCAGTTTCAAGAAGCCCTTTGTCGAACAGCTCAACACACAGGCCCCCTGTACAAGTGTGATATCTCAAATTCCAGGGAAGCTGGGAAGAAGCTGCTGTAAGAAATGCTTCAAAATGTTGAGCCTCCCTTACTAGTCAGTATTGCCTGGGTTTGAATTTGATTTCCTTGTTGTAGAAGGAAAAGGTTTAGCCTCAAAATACCCTGATCCACAAATTAAATGCGTGTTTTGTGGTCCTGCAGGAACCTGGGAGGGCTGGACAGGCCACCTGCTCTCCCCACATCATGACAGTGGAGTTCTCTTTCTAGTCATTGGAAGGGCAGGGAGATTGAAGGATGAATATGTGTCTGTTAACACGCGTTATTGTCTTATCTGTCATGAATACCCTTAGCCAAGTCCAAGAGGAAAAAAACAGACTGATATGTACCTATGGAATCCTGGCAAAGGTCCTGAAACTACCTCCCCCTTTTTTCATGTAGTGAAATGCTGAGTCTTGGAAGATCGGAATCCTGGCCCTTGGCACTGGAAAAAGTTGTAGGAGAAAAGACTATGAATGTGAAACCACTGCTCAACTACTTTGAGCCTCTGTTCACCTGGCTGAAAGAGCAGAACAAGAACACTGTTGTGGGATGGAACTCTGGCACAGACTGTGCTTTCAGTGAGTACCTCCAGACGACACGTTTCAAATGGCTCCCCCGTCTTCCCTGGCTCCAGTCTCGGAGCTGGGACACAGCAGTGTCTTCCCTCACTCGATCCTATGTCTGACAGTGCCGTGGTGAGCAGCTGCCATTTTGTCAGGAGGAAACACCACATTACAATAGTTGATCACCTGCTGTATATCAGGGGCAGGGAAACTACTCTCTCTCTCTCTCTCTCTCTCTCTCTCTCTCTCTCTCTCTCTCTCTCTCTCTCTCTCTCTCCTGCTTTATCAGCCCCATGTTTTAGAGAAGAGTCTAATGCTCTCCAACCCACTGTCCCGCTGTCCTTGGATTCTACTTTTCAAGAAGACCAGTATTTTTATCTGTTCTGCTTTATTACCGCTTCTTTCTGGCAGCTGCTTCCCCATTTCTAAGCCTGTTTATATTGTTATTTCTTTACTGGTCGATTTCAGGCACTTCTTGCTGCTCTTCCCCTCCCATACTCAGCCGCCCAGTAGAACGTTACCATACCTTTTAGCAAAAATATCACCAAAAAAAAAATCATCATTATCCTTGCAAAGCCAAGTTACATACTAGTTATTTTATATCCTGTCTTAGGTAGGTTTTTGTTTTCTCAGAGTTTCTGCTCTATCTCTTTTTTTTTTTTTCATGATTTATTTGCTCTCTGCGTTGCATTCATTTTTTCTAACTATTCCAACGGATCTATTCTTTTCAGTCTCATTTTATCTAAAGACTTCCCTCTTGCTCCTATCTCCATCTGGACAACAGTTTTCACCCCCTTTGCTGCTTTCCTGGGTGGAATCCATTGCCCCCTGGATTCCAAATCATCTTGCTTGGCTCCCCTCATGTTTTGCTGCAGCCCAGACTCCAAGTTGAGCCTCTAAGTGATTGAGCAAGAGCACGTGGGGTTGGAGGATCTACTGTTACCCAAAGTGGCTTTAACTGTACCTTGTCTTTCGTTCCCCTTGTTTTCAACTTGGTGTGTGCTTCCCACCCTCTGCTGGAGCTGAATCCCAAGCCCCTCTGGGATTCTCTGGTGCCTTTTGGTCTGTCCTGCCTCTGTGTACATATGAGGAGGCCATGCTTGCCTACCTCTTGAGAAAGCTCAGTCACTTCTCATTTCCCAAAAGAGTGTTTTTACCTTTTCTTTTTTATTCCTTTACTATCACTGTAGTGGGGTCGGGGCGGGGGTGAGAGGGAGGAAATAAACGCGCATGGTCAGTGTGTCCTCTGTAACAACGATCTGTGATTTCTCTTTAATCAGATTCCGAGCAAAGCATCAAAGTGAGGATAAGCTTAAAATCAGCCCTTGGAGATTCAGCAGTGAGTATTCTGGACAGTGTGTTCTTTACCCTCCCATGTATTCCCTCAAGTGGACACAATGAGCCCTTTCCAGCATGGCCTAAAAGGGGAGAGGCCACATGGCAATCTTAGAAACTATAAGCCCCAGGTTATGGCCTTCAGTTTGAGGGGATTTTAGTAACATATCCTTGACTGGATTGGCTCTGTCTGCTCTTTTCCTTGTTAGCTAGATGGTGCTATGAATATTAATGAGAAAACATCCAATCTTAAACACCAAATACCCACCCTCCCAATTCAGGGGCCACTATTCTATTCAAGAGAGAGGGATCTGATTTTATTGTGACTGTTTTTAGAAGCAGTAGAGATAATTTTGTTTTGTTTTGTTTTAGTCAATCAGCTATATCCTGGAAGCTTGTTAAAAATGCAGAATCCTAAGCTCCCCACTCTTAAGATTCTGCTTAATCAGAATCTACCTTTTCACAAGCTCCTTAGGTGACCTGTGTGCATAGACAAGTGCAGGAAGCTTCCCAGTCACCCCCTGCAGCTGGCTGCCATGGAATCACCAGGTGCTTTCAGCATATAAGTGCTTGGGCCCACCCCGAGGGATTCTGACTTCATTGCTCTGGGGTGTGGCATCGAGAGCTGGGCATCACGAGGGAAGGGCTCCCCAGCTGATTCTCATTCAGCCAAGTTTGCGAAGCCCTGCTATACCATTGCCTTTTGGGATAACAAAATGCCTTAAAGAAAATCAAGTTACTTACACCTTCAGGTGAACAATTAATCAGCTATTGCTTTTCCCCTAGGTATCCAGCTTGAAGAAGTCTTGGTTTGGTTTTGAAAAGATTTACGGAACAGTTTTGTTTGCAAATCTGTTTTGATTGGGGAAGGAGAGGAGAAGCTAGTCCAGGGGGTGTGGTACCCTGAAGGCTTTGCAGAATTTGAGGGCAGCCTGCTTCTACTGGTTAAAAGTCAAAGTTCAAAACTGCAGAAATTTATTTGCATTGGACAGATCCAAAGATCGCATTTAAGCTCCTTACTTTTCTGGGGAAGTTAAATATTGTCCAAGGCACATAGTGTAATTTTCATAGATAAGTAAGACATCTAAATATAAATGACATTGTAGGAGTAAAAAAGAACACTTGAGAAATAAAAATGGAGGTGCCTCATTCTCCAAATTCTGGAAGTTCAAGTTCCTTTTTCTTAACAATCATTGAGTGGCAGTGGGATTCTCTTTCTGTCATACTTTTATTAGCTCTTCTTTGGTCTAATATATTTTAATTATAATTTGGCAGGACAAGATCTTTTTTGATCATCTTTCTTGGCATTTATCTCTATGTTCTCTTCCTAAGCAGTGAGTGACAGTTTTCAGAGGGTCTGCTGGTAGAACATTTGAGGCCAATTCACTGACTAACTGGCTGCCTTGATGAGACCGGAACTGTACTTATAGTATGTCTACACATCATGGCTGGGAAATCTGCTCAGTTTAAGCTAGTTCGTGGCAAATTGCTACTGGATCTTTGGCATTATGTTGAGAACTCTGCCTTCTTTTTTTAATATAAAAGTGGCTACCAGAATATTTTTAGTAGTAATAGTAACATTAATCATTATTACCATAAAAGCAACTTCCCCAAGCCTGAGTTATCCCAAGCTGAAGTTAACGTTATAATATTTTTGTGAAATCTTGTAATTGTTTTTCCTGAGCGAAAGGAGAGCTGCAGAATTTGTGCCATTCATTGATCTCTACTGCCGGCCACTGGAGGGAACTGTGAATGCAATTTTTCTTTTCAACATTTTTTTATAGACTATGCAAATGCATAAGCTAGTTGTTAACACTGAAAAACAAGAAAAAATTACCTTGTTATTTACAAAATATTTTTTCTTTGAACCTCAAATTTCCTTTTCTTTTACACGTTACACATCTAAGAACTTACTATAAAAATAGTATACAAGGTATATTTGTCTACAAGATATGGTTATTTTAACTAAAACCCATGATTCATATGACTCCTATCTGTAAATCTCCCTGCAGGGTGTTTATTTCAGTTACAACAAACTAAAGTACAGGTTTCCACCACTCTCTCCAAGTAGAATCGTTCCTATTTGGGGATCTAGTAGGATATTTTGGGGGGTCTGGGAACACAAGTACCATTAATTTATATGAAAAGATGTTGAGTGCTCCCAGACCCAAGGAATAAACTGGGATCATACCAAATAGGAATGTGTTCCTTTTGCATAGTAGGGCGACCCTGTGAAAGGATAAGCGACAACCCCCCTGTAAGGGGCAGGAACGGGCACGGAGCAGGATCTCTATGACCAGAGCAGACGGGGTAAGGAGGAGAGAGTCCTGGAGCCCTCAGTGGCTTTTCAGGCTTTTATTGGGATTTTACTGAGTACACAGCAGGCAAGGATGCTGGAGATGCCGGGGGCTGGCAGGCCTCTCAGCCCCAGCAAGTCTTCACTCTTTCTGGGCTCTCCGGCCTTCTCTGGTGGTCTCTGCTTCTCTGCTCTCCTGTGGTTCTGCTCTTCCATTCATTCTGCTGCGTCCCAGTGACACCACTTTTATAAGCTCAGTCTTAGCCCAGGTGAATCCCATCTACCTGTGCCTACACCCTACTCTGGGTGCCCGCCTTCAGGCATGCATTCAGGACCACAAGGATGTATCATCAATCCTAATGGCAGGAGGGCAGAAAAGCCTGATACATTTTTTACCTTACCCTACACCTCATGTGCCCCCAATGTTTCTGAAAGCATAGTTAGTTGCCTGAACAGAGACCAGAACAGCAGAAGCACTACTTGTGAGCATGTTAGAATGCAAACACTTGGGTCTCATCTAAGACCCTCTGTGTTGGAAACTCTCAGGGTCTGGCCCAGTACTCACTGGTTCAACAAACCCTCCAGGTGTTACTGATGCACACTCAAGTTGAAGGTCACTACCTTAAAAGCAAGGATCTTTGGAATAATGGAGTATTAAAAAATAATGCTTGTGGAGTATCATGTTTGGAATGTATCCTGTGATCCCTACTGAGCTGTGTTTTTCTTCTGAATTTGCAGTATGACTGGAATGACAATGAGGTGTTCTTGTTCCAGTCATCTGTTGCATATGCCATGAGAGAATATTTTTTAAAAGAGAAAAAGGAGGAGATGCTTTTTGGGTGAGTTGATTTGCTCTCCAGTTATTTCAGCCAGCACTTATTCAAATAAAATTAAGAAAAACCTCCTAATAACATTAAAGCTTCGGTATCCCAGAATTAGGGCCACTCTATATAGGGGTAATTATAACTTATTTGACCTGTAGATTGTTAAGAGCATCCTTATTGTTAAATGTCAATAGTTCTCCCCACCCACCCTCTCCTTTTCTACCTCCCCCTCTTTTTCCCTCCCCTAAACACCCTCAACACTGAATGGAAATGGCAGAAATCTCTGCCTTTATTGAGCTTATGTAGAATATCATGTATATATTTATAAAAACCTGTATATTATATAGTTATTAAATGTTTTACATTAAAAAATATAATTTCTAAGTTATCAAAATGGCATAGTTTTTTAAATCATAGACTACCAGAGACCATTTATATATTTATGTTTTAATGTATGTGCATGTGTGGCAATTAACGTGTGTGTGTGTGTGTGTGTGTGTGAAATATAGTAGAATTACATGGTGATGAGAACAGGGAGAAAAATGCAACAGGAAAGGGGCTAGGGAGTAAGTGTGTGTGTGTGTGTGTGTGTGTGTGTGTGTGTGTGTGTGTGTGTAATTCAATTTTAACTAAAATGGTCAGAAAAAAACCTCATTAACATTTGAGCACATATGTGAAGCGGGAGAGAGCCCCGAGTCTCCCTCCTTTCTCTGTGATCTGTCCCCTAGTCTCCAGTTCACCAGCAAGAGAAATCTCTGTTTTTATTGTGTCCTCTGTGCCCAAGGAAACAATTCCTCTGTGTCTCCACAGGACCTCCAATGTGTGTATATTTAATAGGACAGCAAGAGTTTCCTTCGTCTTCACGGTCACTTCACCTTCGAACCCGTCTCAAGTCATTTTAAAGAGCGACGTGGAAGAGGCCATCAGGTGAAACAGCTTATATAAGGGCGAAGGGGTTAACAAATGCAACCATAACGCTAATGAACGTGCTTCGTGTACCCTTGCTGTGGGCCAGCCACTGTCCTGAATCTTTTGCATGTTTTCCCTACATCTTAAAGCTTCGGTTTTAATTCTAGGAGGTTCTCATAGTCAGGAAATAGCCATGATTTGGGTTACTCCAGAGGCAGGCCCTTTCACGAGGATTTGAGTGTAAGCAGTTTATTGGGAGGTGAACTCAAAAAGCACCGATGATAGAAATGTGACAGGAGGACAGAGGATGGAAGGCAGATAACAAACGACACGTAAAGGGCAGTTGCCACTGCGGGCAACCCAAACTCCATTCTTCTGGGGAATTCTGGGAGACTGTAGAACTTGCACCTGAGTTGTCCCTTCAGAGCTGGGCTATTTATTCACCACCTCCCATGAGTTGTTGGCTGAGAACTACGTACAGGTGGCAAGAGTTCCCCAGCACTTCCAGCCTGCAGGTAGGGCAGGAGCTTGTGGTCTGAGCATGCGCACAGGCCCACAGGTTGAGGCAACAGGTACTGGCTGAGGAAAGTCTCACCAGCACACGTGGGCAATGATCACTACAGAAGAGACATGGCATGTCTGGTTCTAGGGACTTTGATGGAGGATTCATTAATGAACCAAAGCCTGAAACAAGGTAGGCAAGACTAGGATTCCTTAGATGTTGGTTAGCCTCCTTGCTAGAGGAGGGCCTGATGGGTGGTATTTCAAAGGAACAGCATGCCCAATTTCCCTCAGCTGTTTCCCAAAATAGCAAGTGTGAAAAGTGATATACAGTTCCCCAGTCACTTAAAAAAAAAAAAAAAAAAAAAAAGAGGCTTCATTTTAGTTTTGTCCCTTTGCTTTTTTTTTTTTTAAAGATTTATTTATTTACACAAGAGCTGGGGTACAGGCCAGAGGCATGGGAGGGTTAGAGGATTCACCAGAGACAGAGTGGGGAGCAGAATAGGCAGACGGACCGAAAGCACTGCTGAGGGGAGCAGCAGGCAAGACAGGAGAGGTCTGCCGTACCATGTGGGTAGCTCCCTGGCCTGCCAGGAATTGAACCTCTGCTGCAAAGGCTGCAGACAGCTTCACAGAGCTGCACTCAACCTGCTGCACCACCAGGGAGGCCCTGCTTTGTTTCTTTATATTCCATATATGAGCAAGGCCATCTTGGTATTTGTCTTTTTCCATCTGACTTATTTTGCTTAGCAAATCTTCTCCCGTTCCATCCATGTTGTGAATGACAACCTTTTTTTTATAGCTGAGTATTAAAGCAAAACAAGCCTAAATCTGACTAAAGAACTAAGGTGGGGTGGGGAGCAATGGACTGTGGTGGAGAACGACGGGTGCCTTGCTGGTGGATGTGGTGTGGTAACAATATCTGAACAGGTGCGAACCTGTACCCATAAACCATACAGTGCTATTAACTTACAATACTTAAATAAAATAATTAAAATTTAAAAAAGAAAAAAGTTTAAGGTAACCACTGCTATGGGGACGCTCACTCGGTGGCCCTCTTGAATTGCTAATCATCCTCGAGGCAGAAAGGCCTGCTGGGCAGGGTGTGCTTAGAAAACCCGGCTTAGTTAGTTAGGGTGTACAAACCAGCCATGTCCAGACTCACTGCCTGCATCCAAACAACTTGTCTCAGCCTTGCGGGGGAGGTGCCCGCTGAGATCAGGGCGAAAGAGCCCAGCCCTCAAACTCGCTCTTTCTAGAAGACAAGAGACACTTTCAGATTGCGGTTGCCTGGGGTTACATGGCTAATTCTGCTCTGACCTCTCCCCCTCTCTGGGTGACTCTGACCTGGACCATCCACAGGGAAAGGAGCCGGGGATGCCAGATGTTTTGTTCAATCCAGACTAAACAAGACAATCCATTTCTGTCTTGTTTTTAAAAGAATCACCTTTGTTCCTCTGTGAGTTTCCCCTTATCCCATCCCAGTGCTGCAGAAGCTGCAAGGGCCTTGTTCAGTGCGCCCCCGCAGCGCTGCCTCCAAAAGTCAACACCTTCCATTTGGAAAATACTGCTGTGGAGACTTGTCGAGTGCTGGATTCATTTGTAGAAGACGTGTACCCAGCTGTCCTTTTCCACGACTGTAGTGGGCAGGAATGGGCGCAGGGCAGGTTTTCTGATCCAGCAGATGGGGTAAGGGAGGAGTCAGAGGCCTGGAGGCCACGGTAGTTTTGCAGGCTTTTATTGGGATTTACCCGGTACACAGCAGGCAGGGGTGCTGGGGGGCCGGGAGGCTGGCAGGCCTCCCAGCACCCAGCAAGTCTTCACTCTGGGCTCTCTGGCCTTCTCTCACGTTCTCTCTGCTCTTCTCATGGCTCTGCTTCTCTCTCGGCTTCTGCTTCTCTGCTTCTTTCTTGGCTTCTGCTCTGGCGTCCCCGCGACGCCGCTCCTAAAAGCACAGTCTTAGCCCAGGTGAATCCCATCTACATGTGCCCACACCCTACTCCAGGTGCCCGCCATCAGGCATGCATTCAGGACCACAGGGTTCCCTCATCGATCCTAATGGCGGGAGGGCAGAAAAGCCTGATGCTTTTACCTTACCCTACAACGACTTACTGTACAGTCCCACTCTGACAGAAGGGAAATTCCTGCCAAATCTGCACACTGTGCTTTATACACAGCAGGCCCAAGTGAACGGCTGCCAGCCATTTGCATGTTTCCCATTTGCAGCCCAATTTTCCCATGAAGCTGTTGCCAAATTTAATCTAGGACACAAGAAATGAAAGGTGCATAATTGTCAAAACTTCGATCGTAAAAAAGTTTATTGAAGTAACATTAATTGAAATCATCATGTAGGATTCAGGCGACCAGCATTGTAAATGGACACTCGTACAGATGACGTTATGCTCCCCGCCAAGGTCTAGTTTCATCCCACCATTACAACTGACCCCTTTACGCCATCTCCCCACCCCTCCCCTCTGGCAACCATTTTGTTCTTATAATCTAGGAGTCTCTTTTTTTTTTTTTAAGATTTATTCATTTATTTATACAAGCACTGGGCACAGTCAGAAGCGCGGGAGGGTGAGAGAATTCACCAGAGCCAAAGCGGGGAACAGAACAGGCAGACTGACGAAGTACACTGCTGAGGGGAGCAGTGGGCGTAGCAGGCGAGGTCTGCGCGCCATGTGAGACCCTCACCAGTGGCCGGGGATCGAACCGGCACTGCAGAGGCTGCGGGCAGCTTTGCAGCCCAGTGCTCAACTGCTGCGCCACCAGGGGAGGCCCATCTAGGAGTCTGTTTTTTAAACTCCTGTCTTTCACTGGACCTGGTTATTTATCGAATATGTTGATTTTGTTGCTCTTTTCTGTGTATGTTGTTAGGAGACGTCTTATCAAATCCTTTCTGCAACAATGATATAAGGAATAAATAATTACTGTAATTTTATTTTCCTTAAGTGTACTTTTGCCTAACTGTTCTGCTTTTGGAAATAGGCTGTCCCGGGGCCGTATCAATGATGCTTTCCGCCTGGATGACAACAGCCTGGAGTTTGTGGGTATTTACCCGACACTGGCACCGCCTTACAAGCCACCTGTCAACATTTGGCTGATTGCTTTTGGGGTTGTGATGGCAGTGGTAGTGGTTGGTATCGGCGTGCTCATCTACACCGGGATCAGAGAACGAAAGAAGTAAGTGACCTTTCCTAGGCGTATCTGTGTCCTAAATCAGAAAGGTTTAGAGAACTAGAAGCTTTGTCATTAAATGCTAAGTTGCATCAACCAATTAACTTATTTCAGCCATTTCGCACCTAAATATTCTGCTGCATCCCTTAGAAACTGAGCAGATTTTATCAGCACTTCACCTTCCTAGCCAACACTGCACAGTAGGTGTCAGGCCTGGGATTTACAGGAATGTCCAGGTCAACTCCTTCCCGACCACAGGGTCATTTCCCTTATGCTGGGAGTGCTGCCAGCTCTGCAGGGGCAGGCAGGCTCAGGGGACTACTCACCAAGGGGTACTGCTTCATTTAGAAGTGACCCTGAGACGGAATCGTTGAAAGGTTTGAACTCTGAGATAATTCAAGAACGAGCTTTTTGAGACTTGCTCCCAACTACTCTTTAATCATCCTCGTTGCTCCCCAGATAGCTCAAGCTCCCTATATTCCCCTTAGTGCGCGGGTCAGACACCCTCTAGTTTGTTCTGGTATGAAGATCCGAGTTTATCAAAGATTTCAATCACTAGAGACCTGATGTATAGTCTTGCTTTGCCTCTAGATTCTGCCATTGTTGAAAAGGCATTTACTTTTGTCGAGCTGTGTAATCAGATTACATAATTAGAGCACCGACCAAAACTTCATGCATGCTTCAGGTTGTTTAAATATATTCTTGGTTGAATTTTTACATACACTTATCCATTTTGCTCAATATCCTTCACTATAGAGTGTCTTAGTTCCCCCCAAATAGATCCAATTGAAAGAATAGAGATTGCATAAATACATTCATATACCTGAAAATTTTAAAATACAAAAGGATACTTAGTTTCCCTGTCACCCTGTGCCTCCAAGTCCCCTCCCTAAAGCCAACCAAAAGTACCAATTTCTGAGTTGTGGAATCAGAATCTGCATTTTAGTATAACCCCCAGAGAATCACATGCACATTATAATTTGAGAAGAACATTATGAAAATATGCACATGAGCTACACTTCCAGAGTTAAGTTAAATAGATTATCTAAGGCCATCTCCTTCACAACACACACTATGTTAGTAAGAGTACACAGAAAAATAAGACCGGCAGGCCTTCTCAGTTCCTTCATATAGTGATTCTTTCAGCAAATGCTGATGTAAATTATCTTCATGTGTGTGAACTGAGATTCACAGAGGGCAAATAACTTTCTCTACTTTACACAGTAAGATTGATTGGGACACACACCCAGTTTTCAAAGGTGTTGTTGTACCTCAATGCTATCCTGTCCTGACCTTGTTTACACTTTCGAAGTTGGTAATTTAGCAGGAAAGCTCTTTAAAATGAGGCCATTGGCTAAATAACCACTCAGTTCCTAGTAATGACAGTAACGGTTAATCGTGATTGTGGATTATAGCCAGGTACTGTGAGTGCTTGTCAGCATTATTTCACCGAATTCATATCATTGCCATCATTTTCTAAATAGGCAAACTGAGCATAGAGCCCCCCACTACAGGGCACATACCCCTAACCCATCTCCTGCACCCTGCCAGCCATTGTGCCAACCAATGACAGGGCCAAAGAAGGGATGCCAATGCTTTCCAGGTGTTTAGAACCTGTTAAGAGGGAACCGATTTGCAAAGGAGCACATCAGTGCTTAGATGTGGTGTAAGAGCTGGCTGGGCTCGTCTCTGGAAGGCAGTGTCATTCTGACGTCACTATATTAAGGTGCTCTCGCTTTATTTAACAGGAGAAGTGAAGAAGCAAGTGAAGAGAATCCTTATGGCTCCGTGGACTTGAGTAAAGGGGAAAATAACCCAGGATTCCAAAGTAGTGAGGATACTCAGACTTCATTTTAGAACATTCTACTTTGTTTCCTCTTGAGGTGATTTTACCATACATAAATGTTAATTTCATGGTACAGCTATATGGGATTATACAGATGTCATTAAATAGCAAAACGATGACCCTGTTCAGGAAAAGTTGTCCTAAGAAGACTCGCCTGAGGAGAGGGCATCTTCACTCGCATTGCCTTCAGCATTTATTTTGCGTAAGAATTCGACTTCCCTTCTGTTTCCTAAAAGAGATGTTGATATTTGAGAATAATCAAGAAAGTGTGGCTTTGGCCTCACAGGCCATTCAAGGGTAGTGGAAATGGAAAAACGGGTTGGCTTGCAGGAGTTGGGGGAAAAAAAGGATATATGGTGGGAGCGACTGTTGGGATCTTGTATGGAATCTGGATGGGTCACTTTTAAAGATGGCGCCTGAGAATGGGTAGAGCTGAGAATGGGGACTTGGTAATAGTAGCTCATTTAATCCACACAGTAACCCTATCACTTAAGTACTAGTTTATAGTGAAGCACAGAGCTGAGAATGGGCGCCTGAGAAGGGGGTAGAGCTGCAGGGATTGAGAACGGCACAGACACTTTAATTCAAATGTAAGGGATGTCGCCCTCTCTTCACATGAACTTAATCTAAGTATTGTAGTGACCTGCCCACAGGGATGACTACAGTAGAACAGGCCTGCTTCAGAGTGACAGGTCTAAAGAAGAGAACAGACTCCAGAGTCTTCTCACTTCCAAGTTACTCGATCTGTCACTTCCCCAACAATTTAAAACCAGCCCCGGGGGTCTCCATGAGTCACATCCCTCAGAGCACACTGAGCAGAAACTCCTGTGTATTGTTCTCTAACAATGGAATGAATGGAACCCCAATGGAATTCACCCTCTGCAGTGAGCACCTTAGGTCTTTGGTATCCACTCACTGCACCTGAGCAGCGCTGAGCACAAAGCAGAGACTCGGTAAATGCTGGTGTTACACACTCCCGTGGGCTCCTGTGCACAGATGTGCTGGGGCTGCCACAGCATCTGCCTGCTTCTCACCTCCATGAACAAATCACCGTCTGACTGCCTAGCACCCTTGACCACTCAAATGTCTTGGAATGTATCCCAATTTCTTACATTGCTTGATTGCACAATCATTCTAAAGAGAGTTGTGTTGGAACTGTACACGTCACCAGGTAGGGCCCAAGCCTGCTCCCATGCATCTGAGTCCCCAGGTGGGTCCCGAGCCCAGCATCCACCACATACTTGAAAATGGATTCAAAATAGGTGAAATGGATTAACACATCCACACTCTACCCTTCAACTCACTCGATGTGGTGACCAGCACGTAAGGGTAACTTTGTACAAAACTCTACAGAGATAATGGTCATGTGAATCAGTTAGCCAAGTCAGATGAGGATGACCTTTTTCTTCTGTAATGTTTCTCATTACAAAAATGGCAATGCAGTAGTCTAAAAGAGATGAAAACCCGGGGTTCAGCAGCTAGCTGTGAAGGGGGCCATCCCCAGGAACAGTTTTGAAGCTAAACAGTATTTCTGTACCTTTGTGTCAAGATAGTAGACTGAAATCTGATCTCCCATTATCAAACTAGCCAGCAGCTCCAGAGCCCCAAACCCAAGGCATTAAAATGATAGCAACAATCTAATCAATTCTAGATACAAGATCATGATTACCCTGAGTTGAGATTGCTAGCGATAAGGTTAAGGAAACGGTATTGAATTGTACCTTAGCACCTTTTAAATTTTGCTTTATGGGAAACCTAGTTAATATATCGTTGAATACCTTTAACTCCTGCTTCATACCTGTGTGCGTGACCACATAGTCCTTGTTCTCATCTGGACATCAGAAGAAACTTGTGTCATTTGCATTGGATTATGGACCCTAATGACGCCACACACAGTGGGGCCCCGGGGCAGTGCAGACTGGCTGCCTTGGCAACATCTGGGAACGTGTTAAAAATACAAAATCTCAGGCTGCATTCAGACCTCTCCTACCAGAATCCCTGGGGTACTTCTTAGGAATCGGTTTTAACAAACTCTCCGTCTGATTCTCATGCCTGCTCATGCTTAGACCATTAAGACATGAAGGCCAATGTCCACACTTTTGTCTTTGTTAACAGCATATTTAATGATCATGATAGTGGTGCTACAAAGAAAAGGACAAATATCCAACAAATAATCTTTGCATTCTGTTCGATCTTTACACACTCTCTCCACATTACAATCAGAACATGCTTCTATTAGCTGGGACGCAGCATACACAACATTACTAATTTGACCTAAATTTCAAGGAAATCTTTTGTTTTCTACCTTGTTCATTTCTAGATAGTATTTTAGACACACAGCACACAGAATAGTATTAAGAACTAGCTAAATAACATTGCCTGTGCGTTGCTACTTTCCTTAAAAAGAGTAGAAATGTAGGCCAACATCTAGATTCATTCTCATCCGATCACCCAATTTCTTCTTCAACACTTATCTTTTCCCGAAGAGGTTCAATGGAAGATAGGAGTTGCTGAAATGTGGGACGCTTTTCTGGAAGCTAAAAATAAGAAAACCCCCATGGTTTAGTGTGTGAAAATTATCATTAAAAATAAAGTAGAAAGCCAGGCATCCCTCAGTCCTAAAGTAGCAGCTTTTAAAAGGGGGAAACACATTTTCTAGTAAAGAGAAAACTATTAGCCCTCTAAGAACTGGAAAAGAAACAGAACAAGTATCTATTTGCATAGCAGATACCTGAAAAACCAAGATTATCAACGAGAGCGCCCACCCAAATGACAGGGTTCCCGAGGAGAGCAACATCCAAATGGGACAGTCCAAGTCAATAGACTTCACACATGTGCCGTGACCCGTCAGGAGAGAAAAAACTCACCACACCAAAATGAGATCAACTTTACAACACTGCTCAAAAATACATCACACTTGAGCACGTAGGAAAACATAGCTTGTTCTTGAACAGGACACATCGATATTATAAAGATGCCAAATTTCCCAGGCTAAAGTGTAAACTGAAAACTACCTCCAAAATATGAACAACGTTATTTCACGCTGAACAAACAGGTGCTCTAGTTCCTAGGGTTTTCACAAAGGTAGAGGAGCTAGGAAACCCACAAAGGTGAGCGATGAGATGGTGCCAGCCCTCCCAGGGTTAAAACAGCCTCTATGCACCAAGCATTCAGTGCTGAAGAGAGCACCTGGGGAGCAGAAGAAAAGGCCCCCAAAGAACCCAAAGACAGAGGGTACAGCTATTCTCCACCCAGGTGATGGCGTAGTCCGTCAGGCGGTGGGCAGTGACAGGCCTCCAGCTCTCCTGGCCCAGACTGACCTCCCGCACCAGCTGAAGCTCTCAGCTCCTCACACACTACATTTGCGGCCGAAAAAGGTGGGGGCAGCCTTGTATGGCATTCCAAGTGCAGGGGCAGGGGGAGAATCACGAAGTGCTCTTATGCCACAAGCTAATTTAATGCTAACCAATAAAGTAGTATTATGGGATGTGGTCAGCCACTCTTCCAAGAGGGCCTCTGTGCTCTAAGTCGTGGGTAGTGATTTAGCGCTAGCGCCAAGCACAGTGCCTGACACACTGGCGCCCTGCAGATACGCACCACCACCACCATTCCCATCAGTACCACCACCACCACCGGACGTGTAGTGCACTTGCTGTTCTGAGCACCCTTTGCTACGAACTTGGTAACAGTAGCTCCTTCAATCCACACAATGAGCCTGTCATTTAAGTACTATTTTATAGTGACGCATAGAGAGATGAGGGGGCTTGTGCGAGGTCCCACAGCTAGGGTTCAACCAGACATTCTGGTTCCAGAGTCCGTACGCCCAACCACAACCCCAGTCTACGCTTGACCCGTGGGCGCATGGACACGCGAGTGCAACATCAGGCCCTCCCATCGACACAGCAGTAGCAGTACCGTGGGGTGGCAGAGGAACGTTCTTAACAGCGCCCGAATACCACGTCACTCTCAAAAGTCTCCCGTGACACCCCATGGACTCTAGAAAGCAAAACTTCCTCTCCTTGTCATCCATCCTGCAGAATCTGGGCCAGATCTACTTTCTGAACTCACTTCCACCCTTTCCAACGATAGCTGTGGCCAAACACAGCCTGGTGGTTCTTGCCTCCGCACCTGTGCTTGTCCTGGCCTCAACGGGACACCTTTGACCACGTCTCCACTCACGTACCCAGGGACGTCCTGCTGAGGCTTCCTGGCCTGCCTGAGGTCACAAGGCAATCAGAAAGTCACCTCCCCCTCCTCCCAGCTCCTCCTCCACTCTCTATGCGTCTCCTTTGGGAGCCTGGTTATGAACGCCCGGTGTTTTCAGCTGCTTCCTTAACAGCCCCTTAACAGCCCCTTCCTTAACAGCCCTAGCAGATGCTTTGCAAATTAATCCCTGCCCATTTTGGCTCCATGGCTTCTCCGTAAATACTCCTGCTCTCTGCCTACGTGGAATTCTTTCACTCCGGGTCTCGGAGGCAAGGGAAGCAGGACAGCACAGCATATATGTAGGGTAAAGAAAATGTCAGGCTTTTCTGCCCTCCCGCCATCAGGAGAGATGATGGATCCTTGTCCTGAACGCATGCCTGATGGCGGCACCTGGAGTAGGGTGTGGGCATAGGTCGATGGGATTCAGCTGGGCTAAGACTGTGCTTTTTAAGGGCGGCGTCACGGGGACGCCAGCAGCAGCAGGAGAAGCCGAAGCAGAAGCCGAAAGAGAAGCCGAGAAGCAGCAAAACGAACGCCAGAGAGCCCAGATAGAGTGAAGACTTGCTGGGGGCTGGGAGGCTGCTGCACCTCCCCCTGCAGTGACCCTCAGGGCTAATGGCTGTTGCCATGGTCCCTGAGGTCCGGCGTGGGCAAGGAACCATGCGCGCAGGGGGAGAACAGCAAACTCCCTAAGATGCAGAGAAGCCGAATGCCTGCCAAGAGCTAACGACCACCAGAAGCCGCCACAGAGATGATTAAAAGAAATGCTGACCACCTGGAACCTTATCTCGCTTTCTCAAGGCCCACAAACTTTATTCTGCTACAACTGTCTTTCTAAAATCTTTCCTTTTTCTGGTCATTGATTGCTAATTAAAAAACATACGTAATTTAATAATTAGGCTAATGCAAATGAAACATTACTAAACACTGTGTCATAATAGAATCGTTGGTTTAATCTTTCTATTATGTGCTTGACTTTATACCTTTGATATTTACTGCATTATAAAATAAATTCACCCATGACAATTAATTATGAGTAAAAATGAGTAGGTAATAGTGATAGTGCAACTAGAAAATAATTATATAGAACAGTAGAAAGAATTAATAGCCTGTCCAATTAGGAATGAGGCTAGGTCCAGGTGTAACTTCGGACATAAATCACTGCCCTGTCAATTAAGCTAAGCCTATGAGCAAACTGATCTCTTTGATGTTCACTGTTCCTATGCCTTTA